TGAGGACATGAAGCAGGTAAAAAATCTGAAAACATTCATAAAAATACTTTTCCACAATCCAAACCACTTTGAATTTTTTCAGATTTTTTGAGTGCTTCAGGCCTTCAGATAAAATCATTGAAAATTTCAAAAATCGAGATACGGCGGTATGCGCCGATGTAGTACTCGGAATTTTTTCAGTTTTTTATTGCATTGAAAAACATAACCTCAATTTTTTTCAGATTTTTTCAGATGACCTAGCGCACCTTTTGAAGCCAAAAACTGCTTTTTTTAACGAAAATAATTTTTTAGGACAGTACGGAGCCTCGAAAAATCTGAAAAAAATTTTTTCTTGTTTTTTTCATCAAAATACATAATCTCAAATTTTTTCAGATTTTTTAATTGAAGACGATGGCTTCTTGGGCCGGAAAATGCTATTTTTAACAAAAAATGGTTCCTAGAACCCGATGGTTCCGGTGAACAAATTTGAAAATAAATTTTTTGAATTCCTTGTCAAATTTTAATAAATGTTGACCTTTTCAAAAGTTCGATTGAAGCTTCCTAGCTCATTTTAGAGCATCACAAAGATTAGTGCAAAATATCTGAAGACGTTTCTGAAGACATTAGGGAATGATAAAACTCGTTTGATTAAAAATGAGCTAGGAAGCTTTAATCGAACTTTTGAAAAGGTCAAAATTTATTGAAATTTGACAAGGAATTCAAAAAAATTATTTTCAAATTTTTTCACCGGAACCATCGGGTTCTAGGAACCATTTTTTGTTAAAAATAGCATTTTTCGGCCCTAGAAGCCATCGTCTTCAATTAAAATATCTGAAAAAATTTGAGATTATGTATTTTGATGAACAAAATAAGTGAAAAAAAATTTCAGGCTTTGTATTGCATCGTAGCGCCGTGTATAAATTTTCAATGATTTTATCTGAAGGCCTGAAGCATTCAAAAAATCTGAAAAAATTCAAGGTTGTTTGGATTGTGGAAAAGTATTTTTATGAATTTTTTCAGATTTTTTACCTGCTTTATGTCCTCAGTAAAAATATAGATCGAAAATGGACGTTTATACCGGAAGTGGGGGGTAGGAGGAGGGAGAGGATCTAAACATTTTTTTTGGGACCTTTTTACCATGTACTATAACATACCAAAAGCGCGTCAAGATCGGTGACATACGTGCGCACGGTTTTGTAAAAAAGTATTATTTTGACCCATATTTTTTTGATTTCTGAGGAATTTGTACTGGGCACGATACACTGTTGTAAAAAAAAAATTCGATGGCGAACAGGCTTTTATTTCAGTCCTTTTTTATCGTATGTAAATTGGAAAAAAATGTCCGTCAAGTCCGTGGTATACAATGTTTTATCGTGCGATAGTAAAGAAGCATGGGAAATCTGATAAGGTTCTGAGTATGATTGTATATTGAATTTCGAGCTTTTGTACCTTTGTACTTTAGGGGGTGATACGTGTAATTATAAAAAATTCAAAATGTAATAGAGAAACTATACATTTTTTACGATTCCTTCCAGTTATCTTAAACGTTCATCGAATTTCCGTTTGATGAAAATAAATATAAATAAAAAAAGGTTTGCAATAAATTAATATTCTATAGGAACTGAATCATGAATGAGTTATTTCTTATCATGTTTATCAGAGTTGTTATTTCAAACAGATAAGCGGTTTTACAGATTTTCTTTATCTTGAGATTTTGGCGTGAGATATCAATTGAGATCTCAATTGAGATTTTTCAGCAGGGATTGCTTCCGCCCGACGCATGCACGGCCTGTACTGCTCCTGGGGCCACCGATGGTTAGCATGATCAAAGCCTTCTCGCTGGCCGCTCTGAGGTGATCGTTGAATGTCAACCTCGCTTCCAGTTGTAGGCCCAGGTAGCAGATACAAGGAGAGGAGGCGATGAAGCAGTCACCTACTTCAATGGTGATGGTCTCCAACCTCCTCTTCCTTGATAATAGCAGGGGCAAGATGGTGTCATACATTACGTTCCGCAAGATTGGGCCGAGGACCGAGTCCTGTAGAACGCCGGCCGTGATGCTGCAGGACTCCGGACCATCATCGTTGTCATATTCCAGCACTCTGGCTTGGAAGTAGCTGTAGATGATCTTCTGCAAGTACTCGGGCGTGCGGATTCGCTAGAGCGCGGCGAGGATGTTGTTCCACCACGCCGAGTTGAACGCGTTTTGAATGTTGAGGGTGATGACGGCGCAATACTTGCGGCTGCTTCTCGCACCTCCGACCGCCTCACGGACCGCAGCGGTGACGGACTCGATGGCGTCGATGGTCGATCTTTCTCTCCGAAATCCGTGCTGGTGATCCAAGAGTACATCCGGAGCCTCCGTGTACTCCTCCAAGCATCTACATATAATACTCTCAAGGATCTTGCCCGCGGTGTCGAGCATACACAGCGGACGGTAAGATGAAGGGGCATCAGGCGGCCTGCCCGGCTTCGGCAGCAGCACAAGCCTTTGCTTCTTCCACGGGCTCGGGAAGACACCACCGCTCAGGCATGCCAAGAACACCCGCAAGAAGACATCCAGGCGCAAGGCGACGGTGAGCTTAAGAGCCCTGTTTGGTACACCATCACGTCCGGGTGCTGCACCATCCCGGATCCTGATGCAGGCTCCTCAAAGCTCCTCAAGGGTGACGCCAGGGATAACGACGCCGGCCGCTCCCGCTGGAGGGCGGATCAGCGCCTCTGTCATTCTCGGGAACAGAGCGGCGACTGTTTGTCGCACCAGAGATGGCTCTCGTAGAGGAGTCGTCCTGGGGCCCCTCAGGCGTAACATGACCGTCCCGTATGGCCAGCTCCACACGTCCCGATCGACCTCGTCGCAAAGTGCGCTCCAGCAGTGGCGCTTGCTCTCCTTGATGGCAGCGCGCAGTCGGCCTCTCGTGATGGCGAAATCGGCGAGTCGAGCATCCTCCACGGCCCGTCCCCGCGCTCTTTGGGCAAGTCTTCGTGCTCACAAGCACTGCCAACGGAGAGCGGCGATCTCATCCGCCCACCAGTAGACGGGCTCGTGACGGCGGTGGTGCCCTCCTCCACTGGACATCGACGCGCTGTAGGCTCCGGTGATGGCGTCGATGAGGGCAGCCGCCATGTCCTTAGGCATTATACAAGTTTTTATTAGTAGTTGATTGACATGGAGGATTACCCTTATAAAAAAGTCAGCCCATGGGATCAAACTAAGGATACTAAGCTTCATGATTAGTTACTAGAAAGCCACAAAAAATTTTTGGTCGAAATGGTAACCCGCACCTTGAGTGGTCTCCTTGTAAGTTTGATCCCACCCCCTCCCCAATTAGTTATTTTTCACCAGTTTAAATACCAAGAGACCCTACTTTTGACTTATATTTCCACGCATTATTTTCATATTAAAACATTGTCAAATTAATGTAAAAATACCTTGTGTTATGGAATTTTTATCGCTCTTTTCAAATATAGCGTCAGATTTACGATTTATGACTGTTATACTGTTTTTAAAATACATGTGTTTAAACAAAAAAAACGTGGGTTTTGAACATTTGTTTGCAAAATGATCGTATTTTTCACCACGATTACGCATTAGGATCGGGTTAAAACTCTGGATCTGAAGGCATAAACGCCTATACCAAAAGTTGGCGGCGTTGGTTTATTCAGATTGCAGATGGTAGCCATCAAAACAGCTAATTGTAGCCGAAAATGTAAAAAAAGCTTTAGTATTTTGTTACTCGGTAAGAATAGACTCTACAAAAACATATTATAGAACAAAAAGTGTTTAAATTTGATCAAGAAACACACGAGAGTTATTGGATGATTTTGGAAATTTTTTGATACGTTTTTTTTTAAATTTCCAAAACCATCAAAAAATTCGCGCGTGTTCTTTGATCAATTTGAAGCACTTTTTGTTCCATAACATTTTTTCGTAGAGTTCATTGCTAGTGAGTAAAAAAACCTCAAAGCATTATCGGCTAAAAGACGATATGGCACATGTTATAAGTACATACGATACGAGAACATACAAGTACTTACGATCATTTAGAACAATTATTAAGGAGGCTCCCTTACCCTAAGTCACAGGAATGAGACATGACTTTTTTTAGAGACGAAATCACGCTGAATCTCATGGAATGTTTTTTTTGGGGGGTAACCAGGCAAAATTTCAAGATATTTTAATCCTAAGTTGGAACTTTTTGAGTACCCGTCAAAAGGCTCTTATGGCGGACGGCGTCAATTTTATTTTTGAAGAATGATTATTAACAAAAAATAGAAAGTTCCCCATATAAGACTATAAAGGGACGAAAGAGAAATCTTTCTCGTCGTACCTTCAAGAGTATAGGTAATTAGGGAAAAAATCAAGATTCTCGCATTAAAGAGGAAAAAATAACGTTCTTTTTGACGTTTTTGTGAATCTCAGGCTGCACAGTGCGTACTAGCTTCAACTTGACTAGTTAGTTCGGTGTGGGAGCCTCCAGAGACAGAACGAGAGTCTCACAAACTATAGAAACACTGAGAAGGCCTGAACTGAGAAACAGAAATATTTGAAAAAAACCTGTGAGGTATGACAGTCTTTTTAAAAGCTTATGGATGTCAGAAGTGCATGCCCCTAAAACTCATCTTCGGCCTGTGAATGTGAAAAGGTTTTGCAGTGAAGCAATGAAAAAAAAAAATTAAATCTCTAGATCAAAGTAAAGTCCCGAAGCTTATCGAGATACTCATAGATCAGAAAATTTTAGGAAGATGATGAGTTTTTGGAATCAAAAGAAATTACCAGGATTAGATTCAAAGGTATAAAGCATATTAATTTTTTGAGTTTAAGGTGTATGTGTCTCTTAATAAGTGACGTAGTAGGAGTTTACTTTTTGCCAATGCTGGTATTTTTCATATATTCTTATATTTGTTCGTCACTGAATATTAAAATTACTTATTTTTAGATAATTAAAAATAATTTTTAGAGAATTAAAAAAATTACTTATTTTTAGATAATAAAGATATCATATTCATCAAATCAAGTTACCTATTACTCCAAAATCTAATAACAACCGTAGAAGATGATACGGAAGCCAACATAGAGCAAAAAGAATTGCTAGAAGCAATAAAATCCATGCGAGTCGTCTTCTCTCGCGAACAATTCGAGTGCCCTGCAAATGAAAAATATGAAATGTCTGTATTTGATAATAAGTGTTGATAAATTATAATGATTGTCAGCAAAAATGTGAAAATACTAAATTTGATTATTATAAAAATTAGATATGCAAATTTTACGTTCCTTTTACAGAGAAATAAATTTTTTTTTATAATTGTTATAATTATTAGTAAATTTATTTGAATAATGCTTCTATATGATAAAATAATAGTCTTGATAGTAGTATGCGTTGTATAGCCGAGTGTTTGCTCGGAAGATGAGTTTGCACCGCAGAAAGCGCATTATTAGTCGTAAGATTATCACTAGAGAGTGCTCGGGCGTAGGTCGGGTTTGGGCCTATTCAAAACTCGGGTACATCCTCAAAGTTCGAGTAACCCTAAATATCTCGGGGAAGCCCGGAAAACTCGGATAATCGAAAAAATTTGAATTAGCCCATCAATTTTTGTGTAGAATAAATTAAAAAAATTTTATTATAAAACATAACTGCTGAGCTCTTGAAGCGACAGCTATGTTCATATTTTGGACAAATAAAATTTTGGCAACTTTTGGCTATTTAATCGCATTCTTTCAGCATCATAAATAGGTAAAGTTTTCAATAAGGATACATTTTTTTTTTGTTGAAAATACACTTTCAAACACAGAAGCTAAAGCAAAAGCAAAAAACTGGAATAAAATTTGGATGAATTTTATTTAAATCAACTCATGTTTCGTTTACAATGGGTCAGGCAATCGGGAAAAATGTCAGGTAGCCCGATTTTTCGGGTACCAAGTGTTACCTTGAAGGAGCTCTGTAGAAAATTTAGGAAGATAAAGAAGCAACCAGCACGCTGCCCAGAAGGAATACTAAACGCAGTCCTCAATTTCGCCGTCGCTACGCGCCCCATCTTCTTCCAGGCGTTCACGATGTACTTGAGATACAGCATTTTCCCGTGGTACTGAAAGTGTCAGAGGTTCGTTCTGTTGCCGAAACCAGTAAAAACGGCTGACGAGCCGACCTTATTCCGGCCAACCCGCGTGGAAATAAAATTGTGGTAATTTATTTCTACGACGTATTTCATAATAAATAAAGATAGGTTAGTTGAAAGTGGCAGTTCGAGGGCGTCGTACAGCGTTCGCAAGGCCAGAAAAAAGGAGAAGATGAAGGTTAGTTGGAAAAAATGTATATTATGATTATTCATTCTATTTCCACATTTTGCTATATATTCTGTTTTCAATATAAAAACGCACTTCAAATTTTTAACATTAATTAATGCGCATTTGTTGATGAGTTCACAACTGTGTAACAATTTATTACTAAACCAATTTTCAAAAAATAATTGGTTAAAGATGAGCAGAAAGCTGTCATAAATTCATGATGATCATTCCCAACTTTCACACCAAGGAATGATCATAATAAATTCAAGTTCTTAGACTACAAAAAAACAATTATTAATATTCTTGTGATGAATATAAAAATCACAAAATTACTTGTTCCAAGTACGTAAAATATATCTGTAATGATCGATTAGAATATGTACTAGTTAAATATTATGTAATATTAACAATATGTGAATGCAAAAAAAATGTAAGTGTATTGGAGAATGTGATTGTCTTATCAGAAAGTTCAGCATTACAAAAAATGTTATAGAAAATAAGCACCATAAAATTAAAAAATCTTACATCTTCAGTTGTGAACTAACAAATGAATGCGTATGAATTGATGTCAGACATTTAAAATGAGGTTGTTTTTATTTTGAAAAAGATAAATAATCTTATATGTACTCGGAGAGAAAAATATTAAAATGATTCCAAAACGCTACGCATAGACATATTCCGTACTACGCTTCATGTAATATTTCCATGCGTATCCCTGGAATTTGCATGGTACAAGATCTTGCGATTGACCGCGTATGTTACCGCCGTCCGCTCCGCCCCTACTGAAAATTGTCATGTGAGATCTCATGTGAGAGTCTAAAATTTGACCGTAACGAAATTTCTCACGTGAAATCTGACGTGAGAATCTGAAAAATCCTCAGCAATAAAAATTTGAGATGTACAATCAAATCTTCTTTATATAAAGATTTCGTTACGGTCAAATTTTACCCTGCTGAAAAAAATCACCTGAAAAATCACGCCAAAATGTCAGCTGATTTTGTTGAAATTTGGAAATCACTGGAATCACTGCGGCCATTTCGAAAGACAAAATAAGATTTTATTTTTTTTTATGTTAATTTTATAATTTTTTTGACTTCATGAGAAAGTTAGGATGGATTTATGAAGGATAGTTAGAATCAAATAAGTTCAACCATATAATTTATAAATAATATATTTTTATATTTCCATTTATTTATTTTTATATATTAATTTTTATTTTGTATGTTTATAGATTTATTTATTACATATTACATATTAATGTTGATAGTTTAAAATAAAAATTGAAACAAAGTATTTACTCTTGAAGAATACATTAAGAAATGAAAATCCTGAAAATGTCAACTTTCTAGGTCCATCCCTTATAGATCTACAGGGTCTCAAAGTTGAAATTTGATTTTTCAAATTTTATTGTGATTTCCTGGGGTAAATATGAAAGAATTTATGAAACATGATTTTCAATGTAAAATTTTATGAGGAGTTCAAATTTTTTGTCAAAAATCATATTCATAAGCTTGTGCTCCATTAAAAAGTGAAAATAGCATAAAAATCAAAAATACATGTGTTCGTCTCCATCGGTTAGACCAATATTATAATACCTGTGGTGGAAAGGCATAACGACTTAAGTCCATTTTTTTGGAAATCGATATTATGATGAAAAACACCTATATTTAGTGTCTACTTTAAGGTACAAAGGTCAGAATAGACGAATTTAGCTTCTATCGTTAGTTTCAGCATTGTGCATAACGACTTAAGTTCATTTCGTGAAAATTGGGGAAAGGCAAAACGACTTAAGTCCACCTTTGTGAGCTCCAAAATCTTATAGAGAGTCTACTTTGATTTGAAAATGAAAGAAAATGATATTCAAACATATAAATAGCTCTCACATTCTTCGAATATTGTGAATTTCACTATACAATTGGTACATTTAATACGCGAGGGGTCATTTTCGCGATTTTCAGTTTGGCCTTTTTTCGTTGCAAGACTTGAGATCTGACACTAGTATAACGTTAAATTAGCTATTTTATCAATATAAAATCATTAAATAAGGTTATGATCACAAACTACGCGAAATTATCGATACTGAAAAAAGTGTGACTGCCAAAAGTGGACTTAAGTGCAAAGCGTGGAAAGGCAAAACGACTTAAGTCCATATTTTTTGCTCCGTATCATCGCTATGATGCGATTCCCGGTCATTTCCCCGAATCCATTTCCCCGAATGCCATTTCCCCGAATGCCATTTCCCCGAATGATAATTTCCCCGACGTCTTTTTCCCCGAAAGCACAACCCCCGAATTTTTTTTTTTAATTTCATTTTATTGTTTTATATTACAATACATAATTAATCTAGAGAAATGTTTTCGCGTATCAAGTGCAAGTAATCGAGCACACGTGGTAAACCATACGTGTCGTAAGTTTCGACCAAAGCTTTTAAACGATGTTGTGCATTATTTGCGGCTTCACTTAGTATACGCGCTCTTATATCTGCTGCCTTAACTTTTTCACGATTTGGAGGATGCCGATGCTCAGACTCTTTGGGACTTTTCATAATGATCAGCTGGCCTTGATCATTATATGCAGTGATAGCTCTCGCTTTACATTCCTTGTCTCGTACCTTTTGGCAGTCCCAATACGTTCTTTCCTTGCGATCGTACGATTTATAATAAAGATATCCGCTGATATCTAATCTTCTAAGACTGATTAATTTAAAGTCTATGTTTTAAAAGCGAAATTTAGAGGAAAGTTGGAGGAACTAAATCTAGACTACGCATAGGAAACGAAATTTAGAGGCTAATTGTTCATTAACAATTGAGAAAAAAAGATCGATATATCGATATATGCTACATGCAGGGTTGTATATTCGGGGAAATATATATTCGGGGAAATGTATATTCGGGGAAATGGCATCGGGGAAAGCGTCTTCGGGGATTTCTTTTTTCGGGGGAATGGTATTCGGGGGAATGGATTCGGGGGAATGGGCGGTTACCCTATGATGCGCCTTTCAATTTCATAAGTACATAGGTCAAAAGCTACCTCATAGTAGCTTAAAACATCATAGGTTCAGACCTCAACTCGTCCGCGTCTAGTTAGGCTGGCACAATCAACTTAAAACGCGTTTTTCTCGAAAACACGAAAAATGGACTTAAGTCGTATGATTATGCCTTTCCACCACAAATATGTTCATCGGTACATCAAAATACAACTTCTGATAAATTTTCTAATGATCAAAACGTATAAGAAGTTGAATTTTGGTGTATCAATGAACATATTACAATATTAGCTTAATCTGCGGAGATGAACAAATTTATTTTTTGACTCTTATGGTGTTTTCATTTTATAATGGAGCAAAAGATTATAAAGTTCGTGCACTGAATCTTTTGTGTCTAGAATTTTTTACTCTATTTTTCGGGTACTGGAGGCCAGCTCATTAGGGTGGTTTGTAAGCCGCACCTTATTTTTGATGCCATTGTAATACCAGGCATTTCGAGAATGTCAGCTGTATACAGTAGATAGAGCGTAAGGCCCAAAATGTTACCTTGTGAAATTCCTGTACTTATAGTAAACCAGCTCGATAACTCTTCATTGTACTTGAGGGGGGGGGGGGTATAGTATTTTTCGCAAAAATTTTCGATATTTTTTATTGTCTTATTCGATTCTATATATATTCAAGAGTATTCAGTTAAAATTGTAAGCCAACCGGAGCAAAATTAACCAAGATATGACCATTTTAATACACATGCAAAAAGGTAGGAGGACTGGACTTCAAAATCTTTAAACGCGTTTCCTGAATAATAGCATTTTCAAAGACGGTGTATATCCTATCTCAAAACTTATTTACCGATCTTTATGAAATTTTACACCGTTATTTATTAACTATTTTACTAGGTAGTGACGTCGAGATATTTTCATTTTTGCGAAAATTTTCATTTTTTTTCAACAATTTTCTGAAAAAAAGTGCATTTTTTCGTTTTTTTCCTATTTTCTCAACTTCAAAGTCGCGCTAAATTTTCAAATATGAAAATATTTTAAAAAACTCGACGTCAGTACCTTCAGAATCCTCTGAACTAAAAAAAAATGTTATTGGGCTTGTTTCTGATGATTCTGCGAGGAGTTATCGCGTACACCGCATTTTTCGACGTGTTTTCTTTAAACCGATGGCACAGGCTCATTTTTCAATATTTTTCAACAAAAATTGAGCTGAATACTCTTGAAGTGATGCTTTTTAGTGTACAAATCGATATTACTACATTTTCATTACTAGATTGCAAAAAATAAATCTCAAAACTGAGCACAAATAACTAAAAATTAACTATACCCCCCCCCCCCCCCTTAATGCGGAAGGCTCTGTCACTCAGGTACGACTGCTGCACCATGTACAAGCCCCTGGGTAATGTTTTTTTCAGTTTTTGCAGCAACCCAGCGTGCCACACCTTGTCCAAAGTCTATGCTACATCCAAGAAAACTGCGGAACAGTAGCTCCTGTTTTTCAGTGCTCTCTGAATTGTGACGGTGATAAGGTTCACTTGTTTGATTTTAGAATGTTGACTTCTGAAGCCAAATTGATGATCCGGGACTAATTTTTTGATTGTATAAATAGATTCAGTCTGTCTAAGATGATTTTTTCTGAGACTTAAGAGAAGATTGGCAAGTTGTTGATTGGTCTATAGGACGTTACCAGTTCAATGCTCTTTCCTGGTTTGGGGATGAGAATAATCTGCGCCGATTTCCACTGAGAAGGAAAGTAGTGCAGACAGAGGCACGCATTCAATACAATATTAAGGAATCTTATTGCTATGGGAGGAAGCTATTTGATTATTTTTCCCGCGACGTTGTAATGTACTGAGGCTTTTTCTTTTTTATATTTTTTATTATGTGCAATACCTGCTTTAGTGTTGCCGCTTGTATATTGTAGTTGCACTGTGGGTAGTGCAGGAGTTCCACCTCCGATCTTTCGAAGATCTCTTTATCATTGCACTGAGTAAAAAAATTCATTGATTCAATGAAACGTTTAATTGAATACAATCTATGAAATAATTCATTCATCCAACAAAATATTTAATTGTTTTCATGAAACTTTGGTAAAAACAATTAAATATTTTGTTGAATGAAATAAAAAAAGATTATTTCAATGAAATTATTTCATAGATTGTATTCAATTAAACGTTTCATTGAATCAATGAATTTTTTTTCTCAGTGTGGGTTTGAAGACTTCAGCAAGGGGGATTGCATAAGTTCTGGCCTTTTTTGCATCTGTTCTTGCCTAGTCGGATTTTTCCGATGCACTAAGGTTTTGGAGGTAAAGTGCGATGGTAGCCTTTTTCTCCAGAACAAGCATCTCTTTTAATTCCCTAATAGCCTTATTGTCTCTGTTTGTCGTAAGGTGATCTTGAATTTCTCTAAGTTGTCCTGAGTTTTCTTTTTTGTTCGATTTTGAGTTTGATATTATTTGAAATATGAATTGGATTCGGTTGGACTTTAACTGTTGTGGTGCTGTGGTTTATTGCACTCTCAATACTATTATAAAGCATTTCTAGTCCGGTTTCAATATCTGCCGTTGTTTTTAGAGGAATATTACACGTTATTTGATTACTTCTGTGCTCTTGAAATTTTACCCAGTCGATTTTTCGTGATGATTTTTTATTTATTAGTATCTGCGAGTGGTAGTTTATAAGGATTAGCAAGTGGTCAGATGATAGGTCCAGACCCGTGTTTGCTGTGTGGTGGTAATTAGACGATTGGCGGAGGTTAAAATATGAAACGTCGATGTGGTTGAAGAAACAGAGCTTTACTTTTTTACACACAAGAATAAGAGAGCAGAAAATAGATTAAATAAATAACACACAAACAAAAACGTAAAAAACGGAGCAGCAGCGAAGCTTGTCTCAAAGCAAAACAAAAGCAAGATCGGAGTCGCTCGCTGCTTGCGCCCCACTGCACCGGTGGATGCGACCTGAAGTTAAATAAGACGCTGCATCGCTCTTCCTCAACTGCATTGACGTGACCACTGTGCAATGTTTTTTATTAATTTCCCTTTGCTATTGAAAAATCAATTAAATCTGGCAATTTTCTTCTGTTAGAAATTAAATAGAAAAGTAGTTTTCTCGTATTATACACGTACGGGTTTTCCATTTAATTTAATGTAAATCAACACTCGGCTTGTGGCACGGGTATTTTTCACTAATATAAGCTAAAATTTTCTCTTGTTCTCTGATAAGAAAATTCACTCAAAACTCAGTCTAAAATTTGAAGCTATACATGACCTAGAAAAATCTTGAATTAAGAATACAGGAGTCCCTCGTTATACGCGGGTCGAGTCTTGTTATCGGCGGATGGAAGATCGTGATTTTTTTCTCGGACGTATCTATATTCAGTTTGAATGTGGTTAGTGTAGACGCGTAAATCGAAATTGTCAATTAACCTAAATTTGTTGAAAATTTATTAATTTATTTAAGTATGGCTTCTTCTAAAACTCCGTCGAAAACTGCCTCAAAAACCACCGGCAGATCAGAATAATGATGCACCTGAACCGATTTTTGATTCAAAACTGATTGTCGAAGTTATGGATCTAGTTATTCGAGCAGGTGAATTAGCAATGACTCATGATCCAATAATGACGCGTAGCTCGACTTTCAAACACTACTGTGATTTAGCTGCCCAAATTTATGAAGAAATGCACAAATATATTTTGAGACGAGCAAAGCAGAAAAAATTAACCGATTACTTTAAAAATTAAACATAGAATTGCATATATGTGTTGTAAATATAAATAAACATATATGAATAAATAAACTACTCAACAAATACGTTTATTTGTAGGTAAAATGTACATATAAACGAGCTTTCTCGAGGTTGAGGATCGTAACCCTCTCTTTTCCATAAGACTAAGGTCTTATTATCCGCGGTTTTGTTATACGCGGTACTTTTGAGGAACGTAACCCCATCCCTCGTATAACGAGGGACTCCTGTATCTCAAAATTGTTTTCAAATTAAAATTTTAAAATCAACCCTAAATTTGTTAAAGTAAATCTAGCTAGGTTCTAGTTAAAAATGCAGTAAGATATTAAATAACTTTATATTCATACCTGTTGATAACTTATACTTCTTTCTGCATTTCCACAATCAAAAGGAGGTCTTCGCGTACACAGTGTACGACCCATCAGTGAGTAAGAAAAGATGACAACAAGCCCTGAAAACATTTCATAGCACTAATGTACATTTTTTTGATAATTATAGGTTAAATAGTTGCTGAGGCTATTTTCACCTGTTCTTTATTAACTGAATAGACTTTTCTACGACCATTTACAGTTTGTTATTGTATCCACTAAAAATTATTGCAAAAATTATCGAGTAGAAGTTTTTATTCATTTTAAAAGTGCAGTTTAAGGGGGGGGGGGGGGGTCCTGGCCTTAAAAAAGTTTGAATTTCTCAAAATGACATTTTTCAAATCGGTGAGAAAAGTCACTCAGAAAGTATACTACCGATCCTTTTGTAATTTTGCACAGTTCTTTATTAATCCTGCAGGTACTGACGTCGAGATATTTCGATTATTCCGAAAATTTTTTTGTTAATAACAAATTTTCCGAAAAAAAAGGTCGATTTTTCATGTCTGGACGCTATTTTAACTTTTTTTTAACTTCAAAATTACGTCAAAATTCGAAAAATCACTATAAATAAAAAAACTCTACGTCAGTACCTGATAAAACTCATACACTAATGAGGTAATTTTGCATTTTCAGATTCAGATGATTCTGAGAAAAGTTACGTGTCTCACCAGATTTTTCACAAATTTTCTGTAGATTTTCTTTCGAAAGCCTAAAAATGAATATTTTTTTATGAAATTTTCACAAAATACTCTCGAAGTCATGTACATTCACAAATATATTTTAGATATTAATTTTTTTTTTACTAGTCAAAAAATACTTCAAAAAATGGAAAAAAAATCGATAAATCAGCACCATACTTCCCCTTAGTGATCTTATAGAATCTGATATCAGAATTATTAAAACAGTCGACAATAAAAATATATAAGTGGTTAAGAAAAACGACATTTTTTGAAAAAAAATGCTCAAGTACAATCCGGTCCACAAGCTACGGTTTTTAAATAGATCCGGCTTTCTTTGGCCACTGCGGGAATAGGCGAGATCCCGGGGTCTCGAGGATGTCGCGAGTAGGACCTGGTGCAGGGGAAAAGAAATAGTCACCTGATTCCAATAGGTTATGCTTTTATTATTAAGATGTGACTTGGCGCTCGGCCGGATCAAGAGTGAGGCTACAACAGCTTGCTCCCGCTCTCTCTGCGCCGTCTCGCGGCGCGCTGCTCAGAGAGAAGAGGGGAGTATCCCCACAGTACTATGGGGTGTTGAAAAAAAATTTTGGTTGCACATGTTGCAAGAGCAACCAAAATTTTACAATGTTTAACATAAGAAAATGAACAAAATCTTAAAAAACTCATCTTAAAACTAAGAACTTACGCATTGGCTTACCAAGTAATAATACCGGAGCTTTAAAGCTGAACTTTAACAATTATTAAATTAACTTACAAAGTACTAATACAAGAGCTTAACAGCTGAACACCGCTTTCCGCGGTTTGAAATTTTCAAACACGTTTTCCGGGAAATTTGGTATGTGGAATTAACTCAAATTTTTACCAGCTATTCATAGCAACAAAGTGAAGTTTCCCATAGAGCCGTTTTTCAATTTTCGATTTGGAAAAAAAGATATAAATTAAACAAATTTTTCGACTTTGTAGGTTTAAAATGTGGGGCACAGACCTCCTTAAGAGGGAGGTATGGTGCTGATTTAATCAATTTTTTTCATGTTTTGAAGTATTTTTTGACTAGTAAAAAAAAATTTATTTGAAAAATATACACTGCCCTTCAATCAATTTTGCCATACCTAAGTAAAAAATGAGTAAACTTCAAAACGTCCTAACTCAGTCAATAAAAGTCGTATCAGATTTTGAATCGACCATTTAAAAGGTCTTTTTAAGCCCTTTCTAATCATATAAATAAGTATTAGGATTATTCATTTATTCACTTATCGTCGTTAACAATTAACAAGTCGAAAAAAAAGGTTTTCTGGTCTTTGCTATTTCAGCTGTCAGTTTATTAAGAAGACTTTTAGAAACATTCTGAGCCCATCAATTAGTAGGTTTTGTAAAGACTTTTAAATCCTTTTTTTAAAAAGGGTCTTACGTGCATTCCTCGCAAAGATACGATGGTTTAACTATAGAGCAATAATTGTTTTCAATTTTCAAATTATTTTTCATTTATATGTACACGGCTTTGTAAATGAGGTAGTAAAGCATTTTAGTTCCAAAAAATGTTTGTTATTTTATGTTGAATAAGAATTAGTTGTTATGGATCAGATTCTTAAAATATTCATGGTTTTGATTCATCTAAATTTTAGAATTTAAAAAAATATTGGGGGTCAGTAAACGGCCATATCTTTGCGAATAAGGCCCGTACCTTTTTTAAAAAAAGGATTTAAAGGTTTTGGCAAAAACTACAAATTGATGGGCTTAGAATGTTTCTACGAGTCTTCTTACTAAACTGACAGCAGAAATAGTAAAGACAAGCGTGCCGTATACTATTTTTCTTGATCCCCGGTCGAAAGTACGGGTCAGTCAATCAATTTTTAGATTTTCAACAAAAATGTTAGCTGAAAATTCAGAGCTTTGTTTCCTTTCTTTGTTGATGCCCGCCCGGACATTTGCGGCACGAGCGCAGCGAGTGTCGCTGGTCAGGGGGCGGGTATCGAAAACAACAAATACATATTCTGTATATATTATATGATTATTTACTATTAAATTGATTTTTTAATATTAATTATGATTCTTTATTCGGATCGGCCGCGCCCGTAATATCGGACGATGTCGACCTAACTCATTAACAGTGCTAAGACAGGCCATAAAGGTAGTAGCAAACTATAGTAGGCAAACCTCAGCTTCGCTTCGGTCGCTTATTTCACGTACCCTGGGACTTTTCTGTTTTTCCCGGCCTAGGGCAGTGATATACTATGTGACGATGTCACTGGGCGGTATTTGACGCAAATTACGCGAGCTGTAATGTGTGGATGCATGAGCGAGTTGCGCGACCGAGAAGTATGGTAAGGTAGGGAAAGTGAGTATCACTCGAGCGCGTTCGGGGTTCAGGGCAAAGAAAGAACCAAGTTAACCTCGGACGCGCTTCTCGGACACGCGCACTGAAGAGTAGATCGATCCATGCGAATCGAGCGCCTCGCGTTCGATACGTCGTTGATCTGCGCGACAGTGCACACAGAAGGAATTCGCAATCAGGCCGAGAGAGACGACAGAGGTGTGGCAGCGGTGATCGTTGAGTTGTCGTGGAGAAGTTGTGTGGCAGCAGTTGATCGTGGTGAAGAAGCTGTACGTGCAGTGGAAGTTAGAGTGTCGTGTCCGTGGAGAGGCTGTGTTCAAGCCTGGAGTTCAGTGCGACGAGAGAAGGGTTGCGACGTGACGAGGCGATCGTGAGGCTCGGAAGGCAGCGAGCCAGGCAATCTGCTGTACAGCGACCTTCTCTTCAATCGTCGGAGGCATCTCCGAGGCGAGGCAAGCACCCTTGGACCGGGCAGACCACGAGGACGGAGCAGCTGGGGGACAGCGGGAGACGACATCGAGAAGCGAAGGCCGAGGCATAAGAGCGAAGATAAGGCCGTAAATTGTAATAAACTTGGTCGGTCGCGAGGATGCGAGAGAGTGTGTGAGATTGCGTAGTGTGAATATATGAGTGGAAATTAAGAAGAGTTTCGCCGTAGAATCGTTGTGTATTAGTCGTTGAAATCAGAGTAATTGTAGCGAGTACCTTGGACATTCGAGACGTGGTTCGAGTCCACGTGTCGCGTTTCAGGCCGGCGCGTGGCCATTTTTGCGAAGCGGTACTTCCGCCTTGGACGCTCCTGTGAGAGTAAGCGAGACAGCGCGTTTCGTCTTGGTCGTGTGTGACCAAATCGCGCGTCTGCTAGCGCGAGCAGAGCGAAGGCGTCGACCGTATTTCGGAGAAACGAGCCGATTGCGCGCAGTGCAAGTACGCGGCACTTAACTGGGACTCGCATCGGACTAGCGTTGTAATCCGCGCGTTTTCCCCTTGGACTCGCGTATGACCAACTATGTCCGAGGCATGATACGATGTTAGCGAGGAAATAAGATACGAGATAGCGAGACAAAGCGCGAATGAAGTGATGGTTGTATTGATGAGAGTTTAGAGTTGAATTAAATAAAGAAACGAGACTTTGTGTGCAAAAGTACATTCGTTACATTATACAGTTTTTTCGCGAACCCTTCTCACTTATTTTCAGCTTGGACTGCCGACGCTCGCGGCGCACTTGGTGGCAGCTCGACCCCTTGTGAGGAAAGACTCAAAGATAGGCTAACCGGAGCCTCAGTAAGAAATAATTAGACTCCAGGCCGAGCATGGGCTAGTACCCAAAACCTTGCACATCACAACTATTACAACACGATACAAAAAGGCATAAGTTTTTAATTACTCCGTGGATCCTAAAATAAGTATTTGAAGCTTCTTGCGACATAAAAATCCTACAAAAGAAGCCAAACCACTTCTCGCTACGTATCTCCGTTTAAAAGTTACACTGGTTCCATACTGTTACGGCCCGGCCGCGAGTTCTGTTATAGCTCGCGCTGCTAAGCGTAGTCGGCGGTACACGGAACGGAGTTGGGCGTGTCCGCGGAGCGTCGATAAGGCAGGGAGTCGGCGAGTTCCATTCCCGATGAACGCGATGAATCGCGAAGGAGGTGCACGTACCGATCTTCGTATCAGGTCGAAGGAGGAGCCACGATGAACAGCAACTTGGTTGTTGGTGAGGTCCGACGTTGCCTCAACTCTTACAAGGAGGGCTTACGTCGGGAGAGGTCACGTCGACGGAGTACCGCAGCCTTGCGGATACTCGTCGCTGCACGTGCTCTGCTCGTTCAAGACGCAAGCGGAGCTTGCAAGGCGGGTCATTGACTCGTAAGTCGCGAGACTCGGAAGCGCGACTCTTTACTCTCAGCGGTCTCGCTCGCGACAGGGGTCAAAAGGACATCCGCCCAAGTTGACACCGGAACACGAGGTCGACTGAGGAGAGGGCAGAGGGGTTACCGGCACTTGTACGCCGGAGGTTGGCACCGGGATATTCTCCCGAGTGCGGCACGACGGCGACGAGCGACTG